CTTCCTCCAAAGCAGGAGGATGGAAGTGTGCAGCTCATCATAGATTTGGTCTGGACATCAGCTACGGCTGCTGGATTAACTGAACAGCACTGTGACAGCTTCTTCTTTTCTCACTGTAGCTAAAAATGACTTTCAAACACAGCTTGAGATGGAAAAGTAAATCACTGCCCTGCAGCTGGGGAAGAACAAGCTGGGGAGAACACCACAGCCTGATTTTCAGAGATGCTGCTGCAATTCAGCCGTCACGAAGGTCGGTGGGAAACACAGGGCTTGTGCCCACGGAAACACCGACTACAGCAAAGACCCAAGTTTGGAACTGCCCAGCGCTTACTGAAAACAGCTCCTGTAGGACTCGTCCACAGTCGTGGGTTAATTACAAAGCAGCAGAGCTAAACCCAAGCCTTGCCAATGGCTTCTGGACCAGAACCCCCAGATTCCATCACCCTTCTCCCTCCACGTCACCTCTCGTGGAGCAGAGGAGCTCACTGCTGGAGCCGGAGGAACTCAGTTCCCTTGCTGACTCCAGTGGAGCAGAAACACCAAGCCACATAGCGTGCGTTATGCAAAAAACTTAAGCCTCTCTGTATTTTTAAAATGTTCTAGTCAGAGGTTGTGCTTGACAACTCCGTTATCTCTACAACCATTCTGCTACAACACCGCTTCCCATCTTTGTTTCCTAAAAGCCCTAAAAGCCTTTCCAAGCGCATCAATCCCTTTTGCTATCTCAGATCCTGCTATATCACTGCTATCACATTAAGAATACACTTATCTCATACCACCTGGGGATATTGTATTAAAAAAAAAAAAATCCCTTTAGAAATCATCCTTCTGCACAAACAAAATATCATTTCAGAAGTGAATGAAAACACAGTCCCAGTGATGTAATCATTATGCAATTACTGAGTATGATGTAACAGGAGGCCACAGAGAGAAAAGCACCTTCTGCCAGACCACAGGAGAAGTTCAAGCAAGTTTTTGAGGCTCTCAGCAGCATTCGTGCCCGTGCTTTAGGAGGACAACAGCCAGGGTAACTCTCCTCAGCCCTTGCCTCCTTGCACAGCCTCTGGGGCAGTTTCAGCCCGCACACCAAAGCAAGGGCGAGCACATCAGACCAGCCAGCGGGGAGCAACGGGAGACGCCGATCAGCTTTGCTTTTCTAAGCACAGGTGATTGCCTGATAAACTGCACTAACAGCACCGTGCTGCTGCTCCAGAAAGAGTGATGGCATTCAGACAGCCTGCCAGGAAAAAGGCTCCATTTCCAAATTCCTCCCATGCACGGCAGACAAGCGTAGGTCAGAAATAAGCGTAGCTTACACCGCGCCAATCCACCGCTGGGAAGCTCGTTACGGCCCCTGGATTTGTTTGGGAGGTTTGCTCGGTCTCAGCGTGTAGCCTGGGGCTGGCACCATGGTGGGCTACTGAGCCAGGGGCCGTGGTGGGCTCTGGCAGGAGCTGCCTGCATGCTGCCCGAGGGAGGAAAGCAAACGCATTAATCACCCACATGCGTGCAAGTCGAGCCCACACGGCGTTTCTGGGAATATTATCCCTTTCAGCACATTCAGAAAAATGCCAGACAGTGTTTTCCTTTTACTTAAAGCTTATTCACAAACAGAATATATAAAATATTTTGTTTTTATGAAACAGCCAACAGAAGCTTCAATCAAATTATTACGAATAAGATTTAAGTTGTACTTCCAATTAACTCCAACAAGACAAGAGTCAGACCAACGGAGTCAGTATGGGAGGGAACTCAAACGAGTGCTGCTTAGGCTGACTCTGACCGAAACGCAAGCCAGCGCGACGGAAATAAATGGCCATTTTTAAGGTCACCCGATGGGTGTGCTCTGTGCTGCAAGCACGGCTGCAGGTGCAGGCTGAGGCGTTCACAAACCCACCCAGGAGGGAGCTTGCTGCTGATTTCGGGACAAGCTGGCAGAGCAGAGGTGCTTACAGAAGATGGCTTGTCTAACAGAGAGACAGATGCGGCAAGTGAAAATTTATGAAAATGCAAAGTGGAGGAGGGGGGAGAACGAATGAGTGGCTGGAAGAAGTCCCGCAGAAGCATGTCCCAGCCCTGCCACCCTGTATCCACACGTACATGCAGAGCAGGGAGCCATTCCTCCCCTCCAGCTGCCCTGCGTGCCCTCCCACCCAGCGCCCACCCAGGCTGCTGCAATGCCGTACACGCAACTCATCTCTCTCCAGATGTCTCTGGTTTTAGGGCTGTAATGTTGGCAGGTGCCTCTGGCTCCCTAATTGGTGTCAGACTTCCCACGTTGGAGATACCGCCGGTGCAGAGCGGCTCAGCACAGTCCAAGGGAGAATTTCCAAGCCACGAAGGGCAGTGCCCAGGGTTTGACTTGCATCTCCAGCCTGCAGCACTCGGGCACCCAGCTGCTATTTTGGCTTTGAAATCTGCCCTGTGTGAACACCAAGAGCTTTTGGAGTAGGAAATAATTTGCTACTAAAGTTTAAGAGGGAAAGGGAAAAATCTCCTGTTTCAGGGCTGATGCCAGTGCTTCACCATGAGAGATCAGGAGGAAGCTTTCATGGGGGAAAGGGGCAGGTTACCGAATCACTGCTCATTGCATATCATCTTCCGCTCTCCCTACAGCTCTGCTGCAGAAAACACACTAGCCCGGTGGCATGCACCTTTGACTTGGGCTGGGAACTTCCCATACAAGCTAAGCAAACAAAAACATTTGTAGGTTGACAGGTTTTACTTATACCGTACTGGTATAAGTGTGTGTGTGTGTGTGTGTATATATATACACACACACACACACACACACAGACTGGTTGCAAGCCATGGCGGAGACCCTGCAGGAAGGAGTAGCAGTCAACAGCAATTTGGTGCTTCGTGGCAAGACGGGAGCACAGAGCAGCTGCTGCTGCTCTCCTAAGGGCTGTCGGTGGCCGGAGAGCTCCGGAGATCCCCGTTATCACCCAGATGACCTGACCACAGGTAGCACCGAAATAAGGGGTCCCCAGAGCAAAGCCTGCAGTTCCGCTTGGTGCTGCCTGCTGCCTGCCCTGCAGCACCCAACGGAGGAGCAGCACCCACGACCTGCTCCCACCTCCACTCCCCGCAGGGCCAGCTCTCCCCGCACCATGCCGGCACCATAACCACGCACATGGCACCCCAGGAAAATACCAAGCGGCTGAACGACTGCTGGCCTTGCAGCTTTCTGAGCCGTGCCTTGTATACAGGGTTTTCCCTTCGGCATAGCTAATCCTCACTATCCAGGTATTAAAACCAGAGTAACTCCTGTGCTAATACTCGCTTTCAACAGAAATTATGTCTTTCTCTAAAAGCTTAAATTACAGGTTTGCTGCCTCCGAGTATTAGAAAAGACCCAGAATTAAATAATTCGCTTCCAGAGTAAAGCTGGGACCTACTGCAGAAAACATGTTGCTCGATGCAACAGGGCAATTTGCGGGGACCAGCCACTGAGTTCACGGTGTCAGCCAGAAAGGCTCTCACAAGCAGAGATCATCCACAAAGCAGCGCAGCCACGATTAAATACTGTTTTCTGCATCACTGGGAACCACAAAGCAAGAGGGTAGGATCACACACACGCTCACACAAATCCACCCTAGTTCCTTAGCTGAGCACAGGTCAAGGGAGGATGAGAGACACAGGGCTTGAGTTGTTTTAAGTTAAAACAAAAAAAAAAACCCAAAACAAAACACTGCAGAACTGACTCAGCTCTCAACACATCACTGAAAACATCACGGCTTTGATTTTAAAGAAGTCCTTCAACAGAGGATGGAGGCACGAAATCTGGTTTGTAAACATAATTTATGAGGACCGATGCAGTCCTTGCTGTTGCCTTTTTGCTATGAAGATGCCTTACTCAGGGACATTTATTATCTTCTCCCCACCCTGCCATTAAGGTCTCAGATGAAGAAGAACAAATGCAAGATAATTAAGCTCTTTACAGGAGAAAAAAACAGATCAAACATAATTTTCTATGTCTTGAAAAGAATTGGAAACGTCTAGACAGAAGACAGACAGAATTGGTCTCAAATGTATTAATTTCAGTAAGTCGTCAAACCCCTGAATTATGGGGAAGAGATTGAGGTCTGCTCCTCCTCCAAAAACTTTCCACAGCATTACCTTACCCTCCCCGCGACTCTGACATCCTTTATCCCGCCTGCGATATTTATATCCAATAGCAGGGGACCGTAATCTGGGTCACTGACAGCCTGGACACCAACGACAGCCCTCAGCAAGAGCTGCTGGAAATGCAAGCAGCACTGTGGAGTCCCAGCTCCGCGCCTCTGGGGACCTGGCTCTTACTGGGGGAGAAAAAGAGAGGAATGGGAAAGGTTTCCATCTGTTCTGGGAACTCATAGTGCAAGCAGAGCCACCCTGAGGTCACGGGGGTTTGGGACGCTCCTCCTTTCACCACGGGCATGCAGGGGTCACCGAGGCTCCCTCTGCTTAAGGAGAACCCATGCAACCTCAATAAGCGAGTTTGCGTAAGACATCCACCCCGGGGGCATCTGAGCTTCAAGTACTAATGAGGTTATTGCAGGCTGCAGGAACATACTTCTGTCATTTAGTGGTGACGTGACAGTGGAAAGGCAAGCAAGTCACAGCAAAACGGCTCACTTAGGCACCATCAAAGACCGACTCATCCAAACACAGAGCTGGAGGAATAAAATTTTCCCATCTCAGCAATCCCGTGGGATTTCAGGGAAGAAAACTTTTATACAGAAGACCTTCTAAAACATCTTCAGAAAACCCTAAGCAACCAACCAAGAGAAAACAAGCATGAGCAAGAGAAGGAGTCCCACTTGGACAGCCAGAACGTAACTGGCAGTGCCAAAGTCCCACCATGAACCAAAATCCCTGTCCCTAGTGGAAGTTCTCTCACAACCAGCCTGGTCAGACCCAAAGTTTCCAATTCATAACAGCAGTATTTCCCATTGGCAAGCCCTTGCCCAAGAAAACCCTTTCCATTCTCACCCAGCCTGGGAGAAAGACCTTACCTGACATGCGTTGTACAGAAGCTGATGCTCAAATTTCTTGATCCCCAAAATGTTCTGGAACATCTCATAGAGCTGCTCCTTGCTGAGGATGAGCTCCGAGGCAGCGCTCGCCGTCATCCTCGCCTGCTGCTTGCGGGGATCCTCTTCCCCGCGGTAAATAGCGTCAAATTTTGCCATCCAAGAGCTCAGGACTGTCTCCTTGCTGAGACCATCGATTTCTGGCAGGCTGCGCACTCTCTTCTCAATGTGCTTCTTGAAGACCTCCCGGGAGTCATTCGCTGAGCACCCTCCACTCTGCACCATCCTAGCAACACGGTCACTTTTCAGGAATACCTGCAAAACAGGGTTACTTCAAATGGTGTCAGTTAAAAAAAAAAAATTCTGCTTAATTACCACAAAACATGGTTTCCCTGCTGGGAAGCCCATTAACTGGCTGCCAGTGCACCTTCCAACACCTCACTCAACAACCACGTGTTGCCAGATGGACAGAGGTTTCAGCTGCACTTTGGGAAGCATAATGAAATCAGGTGAAGCTTCTGCTTTGCATCTGCTATAATGGAACATCTTGATGAAATTAGGACTTCGTGCGTTGATGTGGTCTCACCTCACCAGACACATAAATGCCCTTTGGGAAAGCAAGATTATATTTTGCTCTATCAAATGTTTTAGTAAGGAAGTTATTGCACTCACCTAGCCAAATTCTGCCCTTTAAGAGGGAGCCCAGTCACCCTACTCAAGTCAGCAGCATGGCATTGCATTTATACTGGTAAGCCAGGTCCCTGGGAAACCTCTGACCAGTGCAAGGACCAGGCTTACATTAAGCTACTGCGCCAGAGGAGATCCTTACAGACTGCCACGCTGCCACAAGACAACAGGGATAGCATTGTATTAATTAATTTAATGTTACCTTCAGTTAACTAACATACGTGTCTCCACTTCTCCCATAATCTGGTCTTTCCAACCTGGGCAGCCAGCACTGGAAGAGTGCCCCAGGAAAGGAGAAGAATGAATGGCCTGATCTTTGCAAACTGATGGGTAAACACCAAGGCAACGCGGAGCGTTCAAAGGCCCACAGCCAGTGGTGTGGCCACAGGTGGATGAGGCCAAATCCCTTCCTGCTCCAGCTCTGTTGAAGTAGCACAAGATGGTTCAGCGCGGCTGGAGACAGCCTGGGAAGGTTCTGCAGAGACAGCAGCCTGCGAGGTGCAGGACACTGGCAGCAGGAGGGAGGGAGAAGGCGTTGGATGAAGATGCTCTTCCCACTGCAAGAGCAGCAGAAGGGTCAAAATATGACAGACTCCTGCAGACCAGGAGATGCCCACGGGAGCAACGCAGAGCTGAAGGGTGAGAGAGGGACAGGGGGATATTGTGTTGGCTCTCCTCTCCCAAGCCCCAAACACAGGAGAGCAATCGATGCCCAGCAAGAACTGCTGTTTTATTAATGACGCTGAGAACTGATGAATGCAGCAGGCTGGGAAGAAGCTGTGCCAGCACCAGGGTGTATCTGTCAGCTCTCAATAATTAAAGAGCTTGAAGATGACCTAAGGACATGGTATATTTTTTTTATACCACTCAGCAACATGGCACTCCATGTTCCCAGATACTTGATGGCACAGGCATCTGCTGGGAGTAGCAGTGGGTTTTGCCCTAGGATCAGACCAGAAATGCTGCTGAGGAAGAGCTGGGCTGTTTCCCCCCCAACATCACTGTGCTGGGGAGCACTCCCTGCAGATGAGACTGGCAGGATGCCGCCAGCAGCCTTTTCAGTCCACACTGAAATACCACTGGCACACATTTTGTTTTCTTGCAGAGCTTAAATATGAGTGATGACACCCTGGGTGTGCGCAGGTGCTTGTAAGTAATAGATGAGAGCTATCAAACTCCAAGCTGCCGGCACAGCTGAGGAAGTCCCCGGCACACTGACTGCTGGAAACAGTGGGAGGTCACAGTGAATGGCCCTGCTGCAGCATCCTCAGCTCCCACGTCCCCTCTCTAATCATCTGCTCCAGACGTCTTTGGCCTGACCCTGTGCGACAGCGCTAATGACCTCCCATACCCACCAGCACCAGGGGCTGTTGTTATCCATGGTCCTCACCCCTGCCGAGGGGTGACGGCACTGTGAGCAGGGGGACCCGACTCCCCGTCTCCCCTCAGCTCCCGTTTATCCTCCCGGGGGTGCGGAGCAGCAGCCAGCAGAGGACAGGAGGGCTGGGGCTGGCAGAAAGGAGGCAAGCGCGGGGGGAGCGCCAGTCAGACACAAGGCAGCAGAAAAAGAGTGTGAAATAGGAAAATAAAAAAAAAAAAGATAAAAGAGGTGTTTTGTCCTGTAGAGCGAGCTGTTTTCTTTAGAAAATACCAGGTGAATCACACGGCTGTAAGACTGCCTAGTAGGACAGCCAGGAGTCAAGAATTGCTGGAGCAAAATCCTAGCGTGGGTGCATACACCGGCACATGCAGAAGAGAACTGGCCCCCATGAGCTGGGTCGGGGGCTTCTCCTGCCATGTCTACAGGTGAGACCCCAAGTCGCGCATGGTCCTGGCTCTGTCTGCCCACAGCAGAGTGCAAACGGGTCTAACAAGGCAGTTCCATAATACCCACTGAAGGAAGGGACTGCCGCATAAAGTGTTGCTTGACTGACGAAGCTTTACTCATTAGAAGTAAAAGGACATGAGGGAGGCTCTCCTGGAGTGTCCGACGGAGTGTGCTGGGCCCATCTCGCACACATGGATCTGCAG